AGTTTTGAGCAATTGGTTAGAGTTGATTTAGTGCATTTTAAGTTTTGTATAATATTTTAAGATTGAAGTAAACTATTGGAGATGGTATTAAAGTGGACTCAAAGTCAAAACAAGAACTGTTTTAAAGAACGGAGATAATATATTTTAGCACCAAATATATCTACCAAATATATCTGGTAATAAGAATTTTAAAATTTTTTGGGGTCAATCTCTATTTTCTTTTGTTTTTAAAAGTTAAACCAAATTTTGAGGCCCAAAATATAGTGTACAAAGAGATTTTTCTAAATATTTGAATAAAATGTCAACTTCTAAGTTTTTGTTAAGCTAGAACTTTTAGTTTAAAGTACTACAACGTTAAAAACCATTGAGTTCAAATTATATCTTGAATTATGGAGGAGCTACATTCTCTTGAATTGCATGAATGAATACAGAGTACTACATAGTAATTAATACTCCCTCCGTCCAAAAATAAAGTTTACGTTTCCCCTTTTTCTCCGTCCGAAAATAAAGTTTACATTTCTAATTTTAACCCACACTCTTCCAAAAATACCTTTCTCTACCATTTCAATATTCTCTCTCCCTCTCCCCATTCCTCCTCTTCTTCCTTAGTTCCTTTTTTTTCTTTTTCTTTCTCCCATCCTCCCGATCTGTGAACTCTTCTTCTTCTTCTTCTTCTTCTTCTTCTTGCTTTTCTTCTTCTTTTCTTTCTCCTGAGCAGAAACGGACGGGACCAACGCCAAATGAACCGTTTTTGCCCGAGGATCACGAATATCCAGTCCTTTTTTTCAATTTTGCCTTGAACTTCACTAATTGAAGATTTTAGGATCGGGAAAACCCTAGGATCCGAAATTGGGGGTTTCTTCAAATTGGCTTCAACTTTGCAATTGATGGTTCCTGGTGGGGTTGCGCGACGTCAGAGGTGGCGGAGGTGGCCGGAATTGAGGAAAACCCGCTGGAAACCGCTGGCCCGGGTCGCGGCGGTGATCTGGTGATTCCGGTAACCAAATCGGCTGATTCCGGTAACCAAATAGATTCAGATTTTGAGCCGTCAGGTTTGGAGGAAAAGGGTAAAAGCCAATTTTGAGCTGTTTTCAGATTTTGAGCTGGGCTGTTTTCCGTGTTCAGGTGGAAAGGCAAAAGGGGAGAAAGGAGTATTTTTGGTAATCTAAGTGCTTAGTCAACTCCCACTAAAAATGATAATAAGTCAAAACGTAAACTTTAATACCGGACGGAGGGAGTATAAAGCTAAGTATTAATAGAGATTGTGAATGATTTCAATTGATGTAGATTGTAATGAAGCACAAATCAATAATATTCATCCATTTATATCCTAAATTATTATTGATGGAAAAATAAAAATTCTCAATAAATGAAGAATTTAATAAAGAATATACTTTCATAAATAGAAATATATATTTTTAATTGAAGGATAATATATACTCCGTATTTATTGGACACACACACACACATATATAAAATTATATAATATAAAAAATTATATAATATAAAAATTATATATCGGTCATCACACACAAAATTATATTTCAAACATTATTCATTTTAAGTTTTTATATTTTCTTCATTTATTATATTCATCTTAAATTGTAAAATTAATATTTTCCCGTGCAACGCACGGGTGAAATACTAGTTGTGTATAACAAAAATAATACTTCCCCCGTCCCAAAATATTTATCACACTTGCTTTTTCATGTAGTTTTTTGACATGTAAATTTTATTTTTTATTTCTATACGAATTTGTAAATAAAATGAATTGATAAAACGTGATATTTGACCTCGAGAATGTGGGAGAGTGAGCTAAGTATGGAAAGAGTTTTCTTTCCGTATTTTTCTTCCGTGTTTCTGTGCCCGTCGGATTGGATATTCTTTTATTGGATTTAAAACTACAGTAATTATTTTGACGGAAGAAACAAAATTAGGGTACCGTTCAAAATTCAAATTCAAATATTGATATGACCCTTTCGCCCAGCTTTCCCGCTTCTTACCTTTGGAGTTCCAATAGTCTTTCAAACAAAAAAAAAGATATCAAATCAATTTGGGGTGCAATTGAAGGTGGTGGGGGTGTGTTTGGATCAGGGTGGGGTGAGGGGTTACCGAGGAATTAAGGGATGTATGAACCGTCAATTTTACGAATGGGGCACCGGAACACCCCCGGGTCATCCCATGACATTGGTTCCCAATGTTATAGGAACCTTGGTGAAGATATAGAAAGTATTATTATTATTATTATTAAAATTATAAGTATTATTACCAATACAATAATAATAATAATAATAATAATAATAATAATAATAATAAACTATTGTATCAAATATAATATAAATAGTATTTAATCATACCATAGGTGTCCCAAATAAATCAATGTCATTGGGCGAACTTTGATGATCAAGTCAAGCAGATAGAACATATAATAAGTCATTTGGAAGAAAGATGCTCGGGCGGGCATCATTAATGTTTGAGAATGATGTTTTGATGTGTAAATCCTTATTAGATATTCGAATATGTTTCATGATTATGCATGCGTACTTTCAATTAAGAAGTTGCATGGGCATCTGTAACTCTAATTACGAGATCGTTTAACTCTTTTAATTAGCCTGTTCTAAAATTTTAATCGCAAAAAATCACTCAAAATCCATGTAACCAACTACGATGTTTGCCGACATATATCGTGGTTTCCAGTTATACTAATTAATAACGACGATTGGTCAGAATCACTAAGGCTTTGCCTTAGGTTTTTTTATCCATTAGGGGATATGATGAGTGACACCATTCGCAACAATAATGTCACCCGTTCGCGATTTTTTTTTTTGGGAAAATGCATGCACAGTTTACCCCTAAGTATTTCAATAAATATGATAATTTCAGGGAACGATACTTTAGATAATTCACAAGGATAAGATGAATCATACTAACAATTTCCTTGAATTGCTTGGGAGCAACACACTCCCTATCTAGCATTTTAAGACTAACGGTGCAACGTTTTAAATTGTTCATGAGTATTTGGTGTACTCTTTGATGCTCGGGGATAAACTGTGCAATTTTTAAAGAGTTTGAGGGTCAACGATACACTTTTTAATGTTCAGGAGTAAACCATACAAGTTCCAAAGAGTTTAGGAGTAAACGGCATAAATGATGTGTGCTACTTTGAGAAAGAACATATTTTTAGTGCTATTTAGTGCCAATTTCACATAAATTATAGATATGAACCTTACAAATAAAGTATAATATCACATTTAAAATTTGACAAGTGAAGTTTTAAAATTTAAAAAGTGAAATTTGAATAACTAAAACATACTCCCTCCGTCTTTAAAAGATTGTCACAGTTTGACTTTTTTGGTCAAACTGTGGCACTCTTTGACCGCGAATTATGAGAAAAGTATATTTAGTTATTACATAAATTTAGTAAAATTGAATTTATTTTAAAATATAATTTTGAAATATCATATTTTTATAATATTTAATTATTTTAACTATATTTAATTTGTGATCAAATGGTGCTACAATTTGACTAAAAAGTCAAATTGTTGTAATCTTTTAGGGACGGAGTTGGCTGTGTGGCAATTTTGGTGGTGGTGGTGGTGTGTTAGTCGAGGGAGGCAATGTGCCAACGAAGGTGGTGGTGATGATGGTAGTGTGGCGGCAGAGGGTGACAGTGTGGCGACATCGTGATGGTGNACAATGTGGTGGAGGATGATAGCAGTGTGGCAAGGGAAGTAGTAGATTTTTAGGTGGAGACAGTGGGTGATAGGAGGGTAAAACAGTCAAAAATCAACTTATAGTATGACTCACTCCTCCATAAGTAAATACCTAAATAGGGGATGTCAAACCTGTCGATCTTAGGGCCAAATCCCGACAGGGACAGTGTGAGAGTTTTATTATTTGTAATAGCTTCTTGTGGGTATCAGGCATAAGGCAGTCTCTCGAAAGACTAGATTGGAATTATACCATGATTTACTTTCATCACAATCCTCTCACGCAGGGGTGTGGGGGCGCCTCGGTGGCCGTACCACCTAAATAGAATTTTGTTTTAGGTCTACGACTTTTTTACCAAGAGACCTTCATTTTATCAATATCTAGAACTATTTAGAAATATATATCTAGAAATATAGTGGTGTACACTTGGGAGTTATTTTTTTATGTATCCCTAGCATATTCAGAGGGAGTAAATGAAAGTCCTCCCCTATAATAGTGGTATTATGGTGTACACTATTAATATATAAGTTTGATGTAGTAATTTTAAAGTATTTTTTATCTAACTTTTATATTTTATAAATGTTATTTAATTACTCCCTCTATTCTAATATACGGAGTATTTGTCTAGTTTGACTTTTTCGAGTCAAACTAGATGAACTTTAATAATCAATTATTCTTAATTTGTCTTGTATATCAATACAAGAAATTAAAATTTTAATAGTTTTCAACAAGGTAAAGCTATTGAAATAATTTTTATACTCCACTAAAATACATTACTATTTTTATTTAATTTTGGTTCAAAGCTCGTTCAGTTTGATTCAAAAAAGTTAAACTAAATGAATACACTTGGATGAAAGTAGTATAAGTTAAAAAGCGAAAATAGCTGGCCACACAAAGTTAAAAGGGAAAGAAAGTAGTACTTAGGGATGTGCGGATGTGCCCCATTCTCAATGCCTCCGCAGAGCTGGTCGGACGATTAATAAGAATAAGCAAATTGATTTTTAATCACATATTGGTTGTAGAATGTGAAGCATGCACTTGATATTTGTAGAAGACCTATATATATCATAATTATCTGAGTTGTCAAAAATCAAATTCGAATTTACTGTCCCTTCCCAATCATCTACAAAGTTGTTTTCAAACACTATTTGGAATTTGGGAGTGCTCTAAAACGCGGAACCCTTGTTTTACACACAACTGGCAATAACCGGTTAGGAAGCATGGCTGACCGGCTACAGCACACCCTAACCGGTCAACGACTATAAAAATCCCCACTCGGGTAGATAAGCTCCAGCCACTGCCCCCCATTAATCTTCATCGCACGCCTCTTCTCTCCTCATTACAAATCTCAGCTTCGATCCTTCGCACATATATATTCTCTCTCTAAAACATATATATGTAGGTGTCTTTGTATATATAAACCTTGTATTTCAAATCTTTGGCGCTCAAGATTTCATTTTTTTTTTCGTTCGGATTTTTTCCCAATCTTGTTATAAATAAGCTCGATCTTTGGATCGAGATCTTTTGTTTTCTGAGAAATCGTAGGTTGTGTAGGGTTTTGTTTCATGTATCGGTGTATGAATAGATTAAATTATAGTGGAAGTTTATCGGAATCTTTGAATCTTCGTCTTGAATTCTGATTTTGTGCTTTGACCCGGAACCCTAAATTAAGCTGAACCGAATTAGGTTTTTGATTTGATTTTGGGATATTACTAATCGAACTGATTCCTTAAAAAAGACAGTTTGGAGAATACTTATAAACAGAGGGAAGAAAGAATGGCGGATACTAATCAGCCTGGAATGGAAGGGAGCCAGCCGGTGGATCTTTCCAAACACCCGTCTGGAATTGTGCCCACCCTCCAGTAAGTCTCTTTTCCTTTCCACGGGTTTTAGAACAAGTTGAGTTCTTTGTTCAGGTGCTATGAATGCTATTACGCTTTACAAGATGAAGTGAGGAACGAAACTGCTAAAATGTTGATACATTGATTATGGATTTGATATTAATATAGTCAACATTCAAAAACAGATATTGGTTGTGCAAGCCCATAATACCATTTCAATAATTTTGTGAATTTCATAACCATCAACACTACAAAATAAGAACATCAACACGTTAACCCCGAAAATGTTGTAATGAAATTTAGTATGAATGATGGAAAATGTAGTTATGTTGGTGGCAGTATAAGTGAAAATATAGTTAATATTGCACAAAATTGTATGTTGACCTTTTATGTAGTAGCTCTCGGAGTAAAGATTCTTCTAGTGGTTTAATTGCCCCTCCACCCACCCTAAATAAGAGAAAAGGGAGGAAAAGAAGTGGCTGATAAGGAGATACAACAATATTGATCGAGTGTGTGCAAAATAATGTGGACAGACACCCTTAAACACATCACTTATATTGATATTAAGTTTATAACACAATTCAATGTATTTTTCCTATAATTTGTTGTCAAAATTTTAAAATGTTGATGAAAAAACATTTCAAAGAAACATAGTTAAGAAATATTTCAAAATCACAAAGGGATTAACAAATTAAATTATGTAACATTTTAAGAATTTATGTTGATTCTATAATGATAGTTAAAATTTATTCTGAGGTCAAGGTAATTTTTTTATTTATAATTTGTGACGTTACATCAATGTTTCTATTCTATTGTTATAATAACAATAACAACAACAATAAAAATACGAAAATATACTTAAATAAATTTTCTAAGTCATTGTTGGCCCAAAATTGAAGGAGTTGGAAGGAATTGGAAAAGGTTGGAAGATACTGGAAGGAGTTGAAAAATGTTGGTAAGTTAAGAGTCTGAACTCAAACCAATTGAGCCTTGGCAGAGGTGGGGTTACACATGGGAACTGCCCTTAGTCCTTTCATGTTTGCATCGGTGCTGGATGTTCTGATGTAGCATGTCTAGGGGAGGTACCTTGGTGCATGCTATTTGTTCATGATATTTTATTAATTGACAAGACGCATGAAAGAGCAATGATACTTTGGGAGCGCGGCGTCATCTGGACTAAGATTGAACAAGTAGAATGTGTCTTTAGTGGTCAGGCGACTGAGTCTGAAGTCGAAGTAATGATCGACTCACACAATGTCAGAAAGAACCAAGTTTTGGTAACTTGGCTTGGTTATTCAGTCAGAAGGGGGGATAGATGAGGATGTTTTTCATCGTATTAGAATTGTTTGGGTAAAGTAGAAGCTAGCTTCAAGTGTCCTTTACGACAAATGGGAAAATAAAGTTTTATCGGATAGTCGTTAGAGTGGCAATGTTATACGGAGCAGATTGTTGGACTCTGAAGAAAGCTCATGTTCGTCAGCTCTAAATGGTAGAGATGAGGATGTTGAAGTGGAAGTGTGGTGAGAGGCTTGTAGCAATGGGCATGAGAAATGGTAGAGGTAGACCTAGTAAGAGTTGAAAAGAACTTACTACCTCAAGATTTTATTGAGGGTATGGCCTTAGGCCGAGGTAAGTTGAGCATGTTAAAAGGAGAAGTGTACAAGCCCCAGTGCAGAGATACAAGAGGCTTGCAACAATGGGCTTGAGAAAGGGTAGAAGGGTGATTTGAAGAAAACTTATGACCTATGATATGACCTTAGATGAAAATGTTTGGGGATTTTGGAATATAGTTAGGTAGAACTTTGAGCCTTAGTTTGTAGTTTATGCAGATGTGTTTTTACCCTATACTGTAGCTTTTGGATGTGTGCTTTTTGTGCTTTGAGTCCAGTTGCTAGTGTTAATTTGTGTTTCATGTCTCTATGCACTTTGCTCTTACACTATTTATGTTACTATGTTTATTTTGTCTATTTTTTAAAATTTTATTTTGTACGTGCATTGGTGTTTGATTTGGGATCTCAAAAACAACATCTGTACTTCCAAGTAGGGGTAAGATTTGTGTACACACACCTTCCTCTTACCTAACTTTTGTGGAATTTTATAGGGTTTGTTGTAATCGTTATTGTATGGGCATGTTAATGTTGTAGGAATATTTCCAGATTTTTGTGCAACTCAAAAAAGAAAAATGGTGTTTGTGTTGTCAAAATTTAACTAGAACCAATGACTTTTTTAAAAATTTATTTTAGCGAAGTTAGAGGGCAGGGGGGGTAATGCTCTTTTGGGATCTCAATAGTTTGCTCGCACAGTCGCACTCTTAGTAATGATGGCCGATGGGAGCACTTGCCCTTTATTCTGAGGTAGTAGGGTTTGAGGTTTCTTGAGAGAGATAATATCATCTACAGCCGAGAAATGAGAGTTGAGAGTTGATGTAATACTACTCCGTAAGTTCGAAATAATATTTGGGAATTTAATTACCTCGATGATTTACTAATTACTAATTTTTGTAGATTTTAATATATTAATTTTATTTTAAAATTTTGCACGAATAGTGAAGTAGATTGAATTAAAAATAATTTTAGTCAAACATATCAAATTGATATGAGAAGATAATTTTGGGACGGCAGGAGTCTAATCTTTGAAATAAAGTAACCTTTGACCAACATATGTTTATAAAATGTTGGTAAGGTACACGGGTAAAACAATGCAACCACTATGAAATGATAATCATACTTATTTTTTTTTTTAGTTTATTTTTTTGGCTTAACTAAATGTAATATGTTTTTGCCTCTTTTGGTGGATTTACAACAAATTGAAACATTACCCATTTTGCTGGGTATGGAAAAAGTACTCATAACCATTCCTAATGCTTGTGTTGTGGATCTAACTGCGTGTTGCTTCCTATTCCAGGAACATTGTCTCAACTGTCAATTTGGATTGCAAATTGGATCTTAAGGCTATTGCATTGCATGCTCGCAATGCAGAATACAATCCGAAGGTATTTGATGGATATGCAACCCTTAATTGGTTTAAAAATACGAAGTATCTAGTGTTTTATGCTTTTTATGTGTGCTTGTAGTTTATCTTTACTGAGTGGCAGTTTCTTTTTAATTGTGTGTTCGTTCCAGCGTTTTGCTGCAGTTATAATGCGGATAAGGGAGCCAAAAACTACAGCTTTGATCTTTGCATCTGGGAAAATGGTAAAAATGTGCACTAATCCGTCTATACAGAGTTGTATAGTGTACTTCCTACTTGTGTACTACCCCATCATTCATATGAGTGTATTCCACCATTTGGCATTCTATTGTAGTGATTCTTTGTATTTGGTCAATCAATTTTGACTTTTCCACATTTATATCTTTTCCCTTTAAAATGTTTCACTTTTAGTCAAATTCCTTCATATAGAGTAGGGTAGAGTCTTGTGAAATTTTCACAAATGAGCAATTTGGACATATGACTTTAACGTCTTAAAGTGAATGTTTTAAGTTGATGATCATACCTACAAAAAGGTCAAGTGAGAAATTAAAGTGGAAAACACAATATTAGTGACCAAAGTAAAATTAATTTAAATTTAAAATTTTCTGATCTTTTTGCCCGAATAATGTTCTGAAATCAGGTTTGCACTGGAGCAAAGAGTGAAGAACAATCAAGGCTTGCAGCAAGGAAGGTTTGTGAGTTGATGTAATGTTGTAGCCTCGCATGGGGTTTGATTGAAACTCGAAAGGAAAAATAAAATACAAAATTTCCGATATCCGAATGTTTTATTTTCTGATTGTCCACAGTTTTCAAGATAATTATCTTTTATCTTTCCTTTAAAAAGTAAAGAGCTTATGCACTAGCAATGAATCGAATGAAATTTAAGTTGTGATTGATTTGCCTCTTGTAATCCAGTATGCACGTATCATCCAGAAGCTTGGCTTCCCTGCCAAATTTAAGGTATGCCCCTCTTCTTTTTGGCATCATCTGGTGAAATGCAATCTCAAATGGTTCATTTTTTGTACTCCCTCCATCCCACAAAACATTACCCATTTTGAATAGTATTTGGTCAAATAGTTACACGCTTTGACTACAAATTGTGAGAAAAATATATTAAATTATAGTATAAATTTAATATAATTGGATTCATCTTAGGATTTAGTTTTGATATATCAAATTTTTATAACATTTCTTTATTTAGATTATATTTAATTTATGGTCAAAGCGTGTAACTATTTGACCAAAAATACATCAAAATGGGTAATGTTTTGTGGGACGGAGGGAGTATAATTGTACGTGCATAACATGATTTTGCCATCCTTATTGGATCACAGGATTTTAAGATTCAGAACATAGTTGGCTCATGTGATGTGAAATTCCCCATCAGACTTGAGGGGTTGGCTTATTCTCATGGTGCATTTTCAAGTGTAAGTATATTTCCCAATTTTTTTTCTGTTAAATAATCATTTCATGAGTAATACTTATTTCTTTTCTTTTGATGCAGTATGAGCCAGAACTGTTTCCAGGATTAATATACCGGATGAAGCAACCAAAGATTGTGCTTCTTATCTTCGTGTCTGGAAAAATCGTTCTCACTGGAGCAAAGGTGAAACATTTATTTCCTTAAACAGCTTATGTCTCTCTGCCCTAATCCCTGAGATGCTCAATCATGTACTCTTTTTTATCAGGTGCGAGAGGAGACGTACGCGGCTTTTGAAAATATTTACCCTGTGCTTACAGAGTTCAGGAAGAACCAGCAGTGGTAAGCATAACCGTTCCCTTCTCCTTTCCTCCCCTTAGGGCCTGTTTGGCTCACGGGGAAGTGAGGCAAAGATGATTTTTGATGGTACCATTGATTTTGTTGGAGGGGAACTCCAACCCTTTTGAAAGTTTTTGAACCAGATGAGGGGCACGGGTTTATTTAACCTTTTGTCCCTTCAAATACCTTTGAATCAAATTGGCCCTTGGGCTGTTTTTTAATTTAGAGGTTTTAGGGGAGGGAAGGAAAGGTAAATTGCTCACCTCCCATCATTTGAAAAAGAGATTTGAAAAAGAGATTTTGGAGAAAGAGGATGCAAAGTTCTCCTCATGTTTTCCTCACCCTCCAAATTGGAGTTGTTTTGTAAGCAAAACATGAAATACATGAAGAACGTGTACCCACCCACCCCCTCTCCTCACTCTATTTACTTGAACCAAACACACCCTAAGCCCTAAGGCATATACTCCATAATTTGCGCTCTACCATCTTGGTTCGACGTATTATTCAAAAAGTTCATTTTGTTTTACACAGATGCTTCAATTGGAGTCATGGTATCCACAGCCTAAATGGAGGGGGAATACTTCTTCCTTTACTTGGTGGCATTGGCACATGAAATGTGAATATCTGATAGTGTGTCCCTTGGATGGAGCTCTGCCTGCCCTTTGGCACCTCAAAGTAAAAACCTTAATATAAATCTTTCTCATGTTTGCCTCTCTGTTCTGGGGTTTTCACATCTGCCTGAGTTACTACTGTATAAATGATGGATAACTGGCATTTCTTCTCATGGCCATATGTATTTGAGAAGCCTGTCTAAATGCAATCAAAATTTTGCTTTCAAATGCACCAACATATATGTCTCCTAAAAAACCATTTTCCATCACGGATAATTTGGTACGCAAGTCATTACTTCGAATAATATGTTGTCGGAACTCTTTTCACAGGATCTATCCAACGATACAAAATGTTTATTGCATGTATAATTTTGACGTTTTGTCTTGCTTTTTTTTTTCGTCAAATGCTTCCAAACTGAGCAAGCTGTGTTTTATTATTACCCCCTCTATAAAAGTCATCTCTAGTTGGAATCATAATTCACATTCATAGTCATTATTATGGTGTTGTCTGTTAAGCTAACATAAAAATACGTCACTCGACAAGGTCGATGTATAATTATATTTTAACTCTCAATTTAATACTAACATGAGACGAAGTCAATAAAGATTATCTGTGAAAAGATACTCATATAAGAAGAACCACTTATGTAAGGGTAGTGGAAATGCCCTTGACGCCCACCAGCGTAAGCCGGTTTTGATGCATGGGGAGGGGGACTAAACACTGCTCCCTCGCCCGTTATCGCACCATGATGTTCACCGTGTCAAACTTTTGACGCGCATTGGAGGCCAAAATCAGGCCGTTGGAACCCCCCCCCCCCCCCAACGAATATAATAGCGTTGGCATTAAAAAAATTCCTCTTTATATATTCAATCTATTTTTGTAAAATTCAATAAACACCATAAATACAAGGAAAATGCTAGGGTACCACCACATGGGTGCACCCATGGTAGCACTCATGTGGTGGCACCCTAGCATGGTTCTAAATACAAACCTCTCTCTCTCCTCTTTCTTAAAAAAATCATTCAAGTGATTGTTTTTATTTTTAATATGAATCCCCTTAGTTTTAATGTTCTTTCGTCCGTTTTCGAGCTAAAGAGGAAGTGATGTGAATTTTCTAATCATACGCCGGTAATCCATCCATGTATGATACGCAAACCTCGGTGAATCTTCATGACTCGGAGTTGGTTCCAGAGACTCAACCGGAACCAAGTGCACAAAAAAAGTGCATGCTGGAAGAGTTACAAACTGAATGGTGACAAGCCGGTGACCGATGTGGCATGGTCCATTAAAAAGTGGACCCAGAGGAAGAACCATTGTTGGCGTTTGCTTAGGTTGACGTCTCCGAGCATCATATCATTAGTAATTTTTATTTTTTAATATATATTACATATATGTTTTTTATATTTTTAATAAAATATTTTTTTCCTTCAATGATATATTTGTTAAAGGTTCTGACCAAACGAATGATGCAATGTGTGATTGCATCGAGAAGTTCTTTGCGGCGATGAACAAGGAAGTTTCCTACCAAACCCTAGACCAACTCACTTCCAAATGAGACCACCTCAACCGTAAATTGCAAAAGTTTATCGTAGTTTACATGTGGATGTTATACGACAAGCCACCACCTGGTATCAAGACAACGAACACCAAGGAAAGATTCTCGTCGATCTTTGGAGAATTTTAAGCCATTTACCGAAATGGCAACAACTCAACAACCCCGAGGCTAGATCGTCAAAGAAAAGATCATCCGCCGAAGTTGAGGCCGACGATATCGACTCTTCGAAACAAAGGCCTCCCTTCAACCTAGATGACTCCGACGACGAGGACCTCATTCCATTGCCGATCGGAAGGAAGAAGATAAAATCCATTGTCTCGGGTTCTGCAGGGTCCGACTTTGTTTCCTCCCACGATGAAATTGGCCGGGAAATGGTTGAACAACTGCGGTGTTCAATAGTAGGGAAGAAAAGAGGAAGAAACAAAGGCAAGAGAAGTAAGAGGTCAAAATAATAGAAACCGGTCTTGATAGATTATCGGGCTTCAAATATATATACATTACAAGACAGGGCAAAAAGAGATCAAGATCAAATATAATTTGTCTTACTTTTTATTAATTTATTTTTTTAATTAGTTGTATTACTTTATAATAAATACTGCATAAATAAATTGAGGTGTAACGTAGCCACAATAAAAAAATTTTAAAATTTAATATTTTGATATTTATGATAAATTTATATTATAATTAACTTTTTTGCAAAAGTAGTTTTTATGTATAAGAAAAATAAAAATATTGTTTTTATCTGATGCTAATAATAATAAATTATACTACGTAATAACAAGATTTAGAATGAGAATAATACGGAGTATAAAAATAACTAAAATAATTTTTTTAAAGTTCTTTTAGGTTTTCCAATTTTTTGAAGTTTTTCCATTTCCTTGTAGTTCCTTCTAATTCTTTCAATTTCTTGCAATTTCTTTCAGTTTTTTCCAACATCCAACTTTTTTTCACTAGATTTTAAAAGAATGAATTGAATAAAATAATTTAAAACATTCTTGTGGGCGAAAGCTTATTTTGTTTTATGTTACCGGCCACATTAGAAAACAGTTGAGGTCTTCTAATAAAAGAAGAGAACTATGCGCAGCAGAATATATATATATATATATATATATGCTCATACAGATCCTGCAAAATATACTGAACTATGCATAAAGCCTATTTTACAAATTCCACACGAGCTTGTATAGATTGCTCATCCTCGCAATGGGAGCCAGTCGAAAGCTTCAGGGAGAAATTGATCGAGTGTTGAAGAGGGTTCAGGAGGGCGTTGATTTATTCGACAGCATTTGGAAGAAGGTGATCCTTGTTTGATTTCTTAGTTAATCGTTATCGTTCTCTGCATCTTTCGATTTATTGATTAAACACCTGTTATTGATTTCCCGCACTGTATTGAATTTTTTGCTTCAATTTTGTTTTGCTCGATTTTATGGCTAGGTTTACGACACTGATAATGCCAACCAGAAGGAGAAGTTTGAGGCGGATTTGAAGAAGGAGATTAAGAAGCTGCAGAGGTACAGGGACCAGATCAAGACATGGCTTCAATCCAGCGAGATTAAGGATAAGAAGGTTCCCTTCCGCCACCTTTTTGCCTCTTCACTGTACAGGTTTTCCATATGTGTTTATGTTAGTGTGACATACAACTTTATTAGATTCCTTAATATAAGACACCATTGTCTATTTCTCAAAAAATATGGACTCGTTGATTAGATTACTTAAAAAAATCTGAAATTTTTGTTTATCGTCAAACTATGCTTACCTAAATTAGTAAAATGTAGTACTCCCTTTGTCCCATTTTAAATTGCATGTTTGTCTTTTTTCTCCGTCCCAAAATAAGTTGCATGTTAGTTGTTTTCGTAACCTTTTAAAAATAAAATACCTAAACTACCTCTAAAATAAGTCATTCTTCTTCACCTTATCTTCTCATTCATTGTCACCCATCTTAAAAAGTCTTTTTAATGGCAATTTCGTAAAATCAACTTTATTTTTTATTTTCCTTAAATATGCCCAAAAGTCAAAACATGCGATTTAAATTGGGACGGAGGGAGTAATACACACCAAATGATATAATTGCTAGACTTATTTTCAAACCTTTGTTTCTCCTAAAAAAGTAAACTGTCCCTTTTATTAAGGACCGGAGGGAGTAGTAAATATTTTGTTACTCGTAAGCGAATTATGCTTGGTGTCATGAAGGGTGCCTTTGAATGTGGCTGAATTTTCCAGGGGTTATGCTACAGACTTACATTCTAGGATTTCTAGCAAAGTGGAACTCTTTGCTGGTTGTGCATTGATAGGTAATTGTAGATGCTATGCTTGAGTCTTCATTTGCTAGACTTTGTATGATATGACCCTAATTTGATAGAGTGTGCATGCCATCATCTTTAATTGAGCTTAACCTAAGTATACTTTTTTGTTCCTCAGTTTTCTTTATCAGCTAATAACTTCTTTAATCATTTCCCTAAAATGGGCAGCCCGGTGCACAAAACATTTTTCTGATGTCTTTAATATGCATATCACATGTGCTGATAAGAATCTGTTTGATGTTTGTTGACATAGGTTAGTGCTTCTTATGAGCAGGCATTAATGGATGCACGCAAGCTTATTGAGCGGGAAATGGAAAGATTTAAAATATGTGAAAAGGAAACAAAGACTAAGGCCTTTTCGAAGGAAGGTTTGGGCCAACAGCCAAAGACGGTGAGCATTGGAATGCTCTGCATACATGATTCAAGTTACTTCTTTAAATCTAATTACCTAACAACAACACCTATGTGCTCAAGATGCTTTTAGAATTTTAAAGATGAATTAAATAAGAAAATATGACAAAATCTGTCCAGATCTGAGCAATAACTTCACTCAAGAGTAACTCCGAATATATTAGTCAAACATGCTAATGTTTATAGTGCAAAACATACTCATAATACTCCCTTAATATGATATCAGAAAATACTCCTAATATGTTAGAAACAGATTATATAAAAAACACTCTTAACATCTATGCAAGAAACACATAATATCAGAAAGTTCTCTTATTATCGAGGCAAGAAATAGGTAATGGTGAAATAGGATCTTCAACAAACCTAGTGTCTCCCTTGAATTTAGCTAACTACTTGATTAATTGATAAAACCATCTCAAAGTAGATAATTAAATTAAACTCTTCCTTCTTTTTCTCTGGTTAGATAGCAGGTTGTTATGCTGAATAGGAACTTCATTAGTGCAGGTGTTCTCTTTTCATTAAAATTTCAGATTTCCTGTATGGGTTTTGTGGGAATGAAGGCTGATAAGTCTTTCTTGCATCTTTAAATTAACCAAGGAAAAGTCTAGCCTAAATTTTTTTATTTGGATAGACGTATGCGATTTGAAAATAATAACCCTTAAGGAACTACTCAATGAAATTTTCTACATCGTCATTCTTATGACTCCACTTCGGTCACTTACAGTTTCTTCTTGGAGATTTACTCATTTACTGCAAGTAATTAAAAGGAAAAGTACAAAAAGGTACTCTATGTGGGCATGTTTTCAATTGGATGCCTGTGTTTCATTTTTTGGAGAGTGGGCATGTGTTTTAAGACTGTTAGCACTTGAAGGGTCTATTACCCATGATGTTGAAAAATGTTGACATGGCATTGTGGGGCCCTTTTTAATGCTCCGCAACATGGTTTTTTTACTGTTTGGATCCCAATGTATTTTCATTCTGTAGCACAGAGGCACATTTAGAATTTATTCTCTCCCTCAGTCCCCAGCTCCTGGTGTAAGGCATTTTCTATAGCAGAGATGGCTAGCAATGGATGATGAAGCCGAGGCTGCCGAGATAATGGTGGCATCGGCAGTGTTGGCGGGGATGAAGATGACATTTGCGGAAAATGAAGGCATTGAAAAAGGTGATTGAGACAACATTTGCAGAAACTGGAGGCATTGACGGTGGCTATGAAGATGGCAGGGCCGGAGAAAACCGTTGCAGGAGAAATATGCCAGGGAATTGGATCTTAATTAATGGTTGCAGGAGAAAACAATTTTCTGGCATGGGAAAATTGAAAATGCATTCAAATCCAAATGACAAAAAATGATGCCAAAGAAAACTCAAAAGTGTCCCAGGGCGTCACGTTTTCAGTTTTACACCATTAGGTTATAGACCCTTTAAGTAGTAGAGGTCTTAAAACACATACGGAGTACTCCACTTTGCAAAAAAAATGCAACACAGACTCCAGTGGTGTGTTTGGTTGGGCGTAAAATATTTTTCAGGAAAATTTTTATTTTATTTTCCTGTGTTTGGTTTGGTGACATTAGTAGAAGGAAAATATTTTCCAGGGAAAATATTTTCCTTCAATGAGGGGTAAACAAATTACATCAAAAAATCGAAGGAAAATTTTCTTCATCTTTCTGCTTCACCCGGCTCCAAGTCCCCCCAACCTCTCTCTACCCCATATAGCTTTTTCATTTTTCAGTTTTAAATTTAAAATATAAAATTTAAAATTTGAAATTCAAAATATAAAATATAAAATATAAAGTTTAATATATAAAATTTAAAAACTAAAACTTAAAAAAATTTAAGAATTAAAATATAAAATATAAAATTTAAAATTTAAAATTTAAAATTTAAAATTTAAATATTAAAGTATTAAACTTAAAGTTTTACACTTAAAAAATAAATTTAAATATAAAAAATAAGCCCAACCATTAGGTATTTTTGGTACTTTTTCCTAACAAAGAAGGTTTTGAGTTATTCATAGCATTTATTTGATTCCTCTGAAACTCAAGTCTGAAAATATCATTGAAAAAGTCACTGCTGACCGACAAGTCTACAACTAGTGAGATAAATCAGATGGAGTTAAAACTAATGTCAGCAACATAGGCTTTATCAGTATGCATGTTCTTAGCTTTGCAAGCCTTCTACAGTTCAACTGAAATACTGAATAAACACTTGAGTTGAATTGATGTTTAATTGTCACAGTTGGTATTTAAATTATAGAAATACGAAATTTGAGGCATTCTGTTAATCATTGAATTAATATTAGATTTGTTGTTGAATTAATGCTATTTGGGTATGGAAGTATAGACTAAAGATTAAAATAATTCTTATAGCAGGTGGCTACCAAAATCTGGATTTTGAACAGCTCAAGCTTGCACTTGGCTATTGAAATTTATTTTTTGCACTAGGTTGAGTTTTAAATGCTTAGCACTTTGGATTCATAAAGTCTTAGTTTTGGAATTCGTACATCCAGTATTGAATTTGAAAATTTGAATTTTGGATGTGCAACTGTTAACTTCAAGCACTTAGTGAGTTGGATTATAATTAACTGAATTTTAAGTTAGTATCATTTTTTTGTTTGTGTTTTTTTTGTCAGGATCCGAAGGAAAAGGCTAAATCAGAGACTAGGGATTGGTTGAACAATGTGGTAGAGTTATTGCCTGCTTCATGCTATTCATTGTGATTTTTTTCAAAATTAATGTCTTAGTTTGAGCATGTTGAAGTAAGCTATGATGACGACGGTTTTAGAGTTTCATCTCATTATTCTTTGTTTTGAAGGCTGTGAGTCTGACATCATTCAGTGTAAAATACTTCCATTGTGTCCTTTTAGGTAGTATTTTGTAGTGTTGCATAATTTTATATGGGTTTTTATAGATTTTAATTCCACTGACACAAACTACTTCTAGTTGGGATTAAGGTGCTGATAATGATTATGTCTTAGACTGAGAGTTAAAATGTACTCCAATTTGAAGTGCCTTACTAACTTTCTGATTTCTCTCCTACGACGAGTTTAAGTTAATTTTATTGAGTAATATATTTCAGATGTTTTCTGTTGCATAGGTTAGTGAACTTGAAAATCAAATTGATATCTTCGAAGCTGAATTGGAGGGACTCACTGTTAAGAAGGGGAAATCAAAGCCCCCGAGAATGGTAATGGGAAACATCTTGACATTGAGGAGATAGTGTGTTGTCTACATTCTTATAATTGATAAACAATTTGTTTTACAGACACATTTGGAGACATCAATTACTCGGCACAGGGCACATATAATGAAGTTAGAGTTGATTTTAAGGTTACTGGATAATGATGAACTGAGTCCAGAGCAAGTCAATGATATCAAAGATTTCCTTGATGACTATGTGGAACGCAATCAGGTTTCACTTTTATCTAATATCTAGAGTCTAGACTACTGTGTTTACCAAGTTTTAAATTTATGCTTAAAACAATGGTAGCATGTCATTCAAAGAATACCGACAATCATTTGAATAAGCTGCTGTGCTTTTTTATTAAGCCAGTGAATTTGAAATATAACTGAAAAATAAATGAAAATCTCATGAGAGAATAAAATATAAGAACTTAGGGGGTGTTTCTATGTGCTGGTGCTTATTGACTAATTGTTTATAAGTAGTTTTATTTAAACTTATAAGCTGTTTATTGAATAATTTTTTGTAAAGCATCTTAAATGAATGATGAGGCATTTGGGAATATTTACAAATGATCTGGGATAGCTTTGTAAAATATTTGGTCAAAACGGAGAAACGAAAAAACTGACTTAAAAATGATTAGGTAAGAGGTAGACCTAATAGGACTCGGAAAGACGTGATTAGCTTAGACCTTAGACTTTTGGACCTTACCGAAAATATGACCTTAGATAGGAGTGTCTGGAGAGATAGAAATCGGATAGTTGGGTAGTATGGCGGTAGCTTTTGTGCTTAACAATGTGTGTTTTTGTTTTTTTGCCTACTTTATGTTTATTTTTGCGTGCTCTGTGCTTCTGTGTTACTCGAGTTGGGGGTCTCTTTGGAAACAGCCTCTCTACTTTTGAGTAGGGGTAAGGTCTGCGCACACACACTCTCCCCAGACCCTACTTCCGTGGAATTCTACTATGCTGTTATTTTTTTCGACTTCAAAGCAACTTATAAGCACAAAGAAGAAACACGTCAGCAACTGAATTAAGTTAAAAACAACTTATAACTATAAGTAGAGACACAACTTGTAAGCTCAAAGAAACACCCACTTAGTTGATAACTTTTATTCTTATTAAAAAAGCCTTAAAAATATCTAAGAGAATTAAACTTGAAAATTCAGTTGAGAAATTGTATTCTTTTTCTTATCCCCTCCATCCCATTACATTGTGACTTTAGCCATATTTTGAACTTGACCAAAATCCAAGTATTATACTGATAAGTACAACTTGAAAATATAGAAAAGAAAAGTTAATATTCTACATCAAAGTATCAATTGCTTAAGATTAAAAATCCCATGATCAATCCAAGTTCCCCATGACACAAAAGTCCTGAAATGTGATATGGGGATTGCAGGCATATAGGCACACTTTGCTTTTAGTTGAAGTTGATCTTTCTGACATATGCATGGTGCTTTTATCATTTATGTTTTATTTTTTTATGTCTCTAAGTTCAGGATGACTTTGGTGAGTTTAGTGATGTTGACGAGCTTTATAGCTCCCTACCTTTGGACAAGGTAGAGGCTCTTGAAGATCTAGTCACCATTGGCACCCCTGGTCTTGTCAAGGTAATATATCCCTTTTTTTATGAATGAGGTAATATATCTTACCCTAAAAAAGGTAATATATCACTCTTGGTGTGAATTAGTTTTACTAATTTTGTTGGCTGATAAGCTTTTCCTTAGCTTCATAAGAAACTCTATCTTTTAGGTTTTTGTCCTGATTTATTGTATCCCTTATTCTATGCAAATTAGACTGTCTCACACTCCCCATGTTACTCTCTTGAGACAGTTCAGATTATTGTAAGCATGAAGCAAATGCTATCTATTGGGTTACTGTCCATGTTAAAGACTATATTGGGTCATTTACTTTTCAAGATGATCTTCTGAGGACCATCATGTCATTGCCATACTTCATTTCCCACTCTCTTCCACAACTACCAACGCGAATCATATGGATTTACTATTTATATGCTACCTTCTAAAATTACCACAATCAAGCTATAAAATTTACCCTCTAAAATTTAGCAGGCCTAGGCCTAGTGGCTTCACCTAAGGCTTATATTCTTCAGCACTAACGACACTTTTCCCTTACTGCACTTTGGTTTAAACGTATTATTTTGGACTGCAGTTTTACCTAGTGAGGACTTTAATTGCCAAGATGATGAGTATAATGCTTTTTTCCTTTTTACCTTGCTACTTGTATACAAGTAACATTTTGTTTATTTCTGTGTATTCACTGTAACTTCATTTGCAGCGTCCTATTTCTTCTCCTTGATATCTGATCGCAATCATACCAAGAATATCTCATGTGCACATGCAAACGATGCTTTATCTTTTGCTTGAATTGTTTCCCCTTTTGTTTTGCAGGGTGTTAGTGCCATAGTAAGCACCAAAATTTCTATTGCCACAACACCTTCTCAGGCATCAGTATGTTAAGCTTTCCTCATCTAATCATCTTCAGAATGATCATTGAATGGTGTATACCATAATACAATGCCTTTTTCATCCAGCTTATTTTACCTTTTTCTTGGGGGTGGGGTGTCAGCTAAATTAGGTGTGCATATCATTCCATGTTAGATGTAATTTGAAACTTGAAAGACATACACGGAGACATTCTATTCCCACTTGATGCACCTATTGTTTATCATGCACTCCGCAAAATACACAGTGGGAGTTTTTAATAGGTCTAAGTGTCGCTTTTGGATAAAAACGGGATACACACTACTTCCAACTCTAGAAATAGAATTTAAATTTTGATGCTTGACTTCAGACTCCTGTCTCTTTCACAATCAATTGCTGTTTGGTTTTACTTTTTTTTAACATTACTTGATTCTCCACAGCTAAAAATAACACCTCCTGCCCAACAAAGTGGTCCTTCCCAAGAGCAACCAGATGGATTAGGTTCCCCAGAGAGTACCTCTGATGCAGTTGCAAGGACCCTACCCCCTAAAATTGGCGCAGTTTCTGCTTCAGCTCCAGCAACATCTGTTGGTGGCCATGCAAGCACTGGTATTGGTCTCTTGTCAAAAGTTAATAATTTCAACTGATTTGACCTCTCTTTTTGAATTTTAATTCTTGTTATGGTCCGTTGGATCATGCAATTGCTGCAGTCGCTTCATCTCCTATGAATCTGCTAAGTGCTGTGAAAGATGAGGGGGTTACAGTCTTCCCTGGACGAAAAGCATCCCCAACACACGCAGAACCTGGATTAAGGGGCATTGATAGAAATGACTTCTCTAGTCAACCTGCTGCCAGCATTTCTCTTGGTTCTATTAATTCACTTTCAAACGATGAAGCTCTAGGTGCTACGTCTTCAGTCTCTGAAGTGACAAAGAGAAATTGTTTGGGATTTGATGAAAGACTTGGGACTACTGGCAATGGACAGCCTCTCATTTCCCCTCTGGCTAACAGATCTAGCATGTCACAAACTGTCAGGTCTAGTGATGGAATGGGCACTAATGATAGTGGTAATGTTGTTGAGTCCAGTGTTTTGGCTGGTAGGGGGTTCTCTTCTTCGGTTCTACCTGCAATGCAGTGGAGGTCTGGAGGTTCCTTTCAGAATCAGAATGAGGCGGTGTGTGACATTCATTTCAGAATGAGGCTGGTAGGGGGTTCTCTTCTTCAGTTCTTAACTTGTGTTTCTACTTTTTTTAGGGGCAGATCCGCAGAAGAACTGAAATTGCTCCTGACCAGAGGGAGAAATATTTACAACGGTTTCACCAAGGTCAGAGTTATATTCCTGGGAGCCATAAACAGTTTTATCCACATCATCAGAATCCACTTTTGCATCAGGTAAGATTTTTAATTTTCCCGATGATATGATTTTCCTCAACTTTCTAATCTACGTTTGACTTCCTCTTTCCACTCTGATTTGATGTACTCTTTAGAAGTTCAACAACATATCACACTCACTATAATCCCAGCTGCATTGGGGTCTGGGGTCAAGAGTTACACAACCTTACAACAACCACAACCCAGTATAATCCCAAAATTCCCAACTTTGTTGGGGTCTAAGGGGTCAAGATGAATATAGTCTCCCCTTGTAAAAACAGAGAGGCTGTTTTTGTTAGACCCTAGATGCATATCTACATTTACCGCCCAAAAGTTCATAGAAAGTAAGAAGGGATGGAAGTTTAATGTGCCATTTTGCTTTAGTCCATTATGTGCCCAAAACTAAAACACTGTTAATAGTGACTCTTTTAGCTCCATTGGCAATGGACATAAGTTACACAACCTTATTCCTGTAAAAAAGCAGAGAGGCTATTTTCATTAGATATGCATTGCTGTATTTACTGCCCAGAAAAGCATAAACTTCATAGACAGTTGGAATCAATGGAAATTTAATGTATCATTTTGATTCAGCCCATTTTTAAGGATATGTTCATTGAGACCCGAGCCTAAATGTGTTTTTAGTTCTTGCAAAGTTAAATTTGTTTTAGGTTGATGTAAAATTATTGTTTTTTTCATCCCACTAGTATATGTTGCTTTATTTTTAGCCCCTCTCCAACCTTTTGTCAACCTTCACTAAAAATGGTGTGACTTGCTGAACTCCACTCTAGCCTTTCCAAGTCAACATAATTCAAATAACAACATAATTCAAATAAAAAGTTCATCTCCATCCTACTAGTTTAATCCCCCAAACATAAAAGTTCAAAAAATATCTTTGATCACGTCATGCATATGGATATCAATATCTCTATCCATAGACTCATCATGGACACTAGATAAGTCAACACCATAGTCATCTTCAAGATACTCATCATCAATTAGACCCAAGAGATAAAGCAACGTTAAGTCAAAACAGTTTAAAATTTGGCTTTGAAAATTTAAAAAACTGCCCAAGGTAGGGCGCCTAGGCCTGAGGCGAGGGTAAGGCGAGCACCTTAACGCCTCGAGGGTTTCTGGGCATGGCGGACAGATAAGGCGTCCATGGAATAGTGCCTTATCGCCTAGGCAACGCCTTAACAACTATGACTTCCAAGTATGAGTAAGACCTGCATAGTGCATACACTCACCGACCATAGACCCTACATTGTGTGGGATTTTACTGGGTTTGTTGTTGTTGATTAACATAATTAAGTAAAGTAAGCATAAATAGTTTGATGCTGTAACTAGTGAGAGTGAACTTTATTTTGGGACCAATGGAGTAGTATAAAGGAACGGAAGGGAAGGGGTGGTGATCAAACTGGAAGTAAGTTGATGGTTTAATCAACACACAACACATTTTTCATGATTTCCTTGTATGTTTGAACCAATGTATATTTTAGGTCTTACACTCTTAAGTCTCTCATGATCTCAAATGTGATACAGACCTCCTTTTCATTTTGTTTCAGTTCAATTCTCAAGGTTCCTCTGTGACTCCTCAACTTGGATTGGGAGCTGGGGCCCAAGCTTCTTCTCCCCTTAATGATGCATCTTCCTTTAGTAATGAATCTCCATCTGCACTGGTGCAGCAACAATCAGGTGTGACCCACTGACCATCTAACTGTAAGACACGGAGTATACAGAGTAGATATCAAGTGTCAATAATCAGATTATAGAGATCCTAATTATGTTTAACAGTAACAGTTTTTTCTTAATTTGACTAATTTACCCTTGAAAATACATTCTTTAAAATTGTTGTACGATCCAACCGAGGCAATGTATCATTATAAGTTAATATTTTGCGTACAATGTTGCAGATGGCAGCAGACATTCAAAAGTTGAAGAGTTGCGACAACAGGCTCAGTGTGAAGATGTTTTGGCAGCTTCTGCTCCTTCCTCAAGCCTTGTGAAGAATCTCATGAATGAAGATGATTTCAAGGCTTATGCAACAGATAATTCAGTGAGTGCAGTGTTTTGTGTTATGGTCCTATTTATAACAAAAACGATTATAGCTCTGATTACTTTGATCTATGTCTACCTTTTGAAAAGTTGCTTAATGGATGTAGTAATATACAGATCTACTCTCACGTATTATTTAATTGATTTATTTAAAGGCTGTGGGTCTGAAGAAGAATTTGGTAGTACGGAGTATATTATAGGCAATAGAAAGTGGTGCAGTGGTGGTGGTCATGGGGGGGATGGATAATATCACATATGCACATACATTACTAGATCTATGGTGTTGAATTAACATAATAATTTGTTCAGACTTCAGAGTACACATGCAAATACTACATGTTTCTTAAATCTGTAGGTCTTGTGCTGAGTTATGCTATTAGACAAATCTAGTCCACACCACAAGCATTTTGTGAATGTGATATTACACTCTTGGATGAATGAGAACTTAATAAAGAAGAAAGATTGGGCTGGATCACAAGCAACTATTGTATGAACCTAATTGTAGCATACATGTGATTTGTCGGGCATACAAAACAGTTCAAGGTTCATTTTGCAAAGTAAAATGAATAGTTTATAAATATTTCACAAGATAAATTGCCAATATTGATACTACTAGATAGAAACAAGGCTTTAAAAGACATAATTGGGCCTTGGGGCTGTGGGACTCTATGACACAAGGTGTAAGCCTCGAGTGTGACAAGGCCTATGCCTCAATTTAATGTAAACAAAGTAATAAAATAATACAATAAAACGCATAACTTATGTTGTGAAATAGAGTAGTACTCTTACTGCATGTCTGCATCAGTAAATTATTATAAGTAATATAAACTTAGAAACAGATTTTAAGAAGTTTAAAAACGGAATCAAACAATGTTAAACAGCCACAAACTATGAGAATAAGTACTCTTATCAAACACTAATAATACGAAGTAAATAAGTAATAGACTAATAGTATGATTCTCCAATATAAACCGCTACAAACTAAAATCCCATTTAAAGAAGAGATTAAATCAAGAGGGAGGGGGGGGGGAGAGAGATAGAGAGGGAAGGGGGTTGCATTGAAGACTTGGTTGTAGACAGTAGACCAAGACAACTATTTAGCAATAGAAGAGCGAGAGAGAGTGAGAAATTAAAGAGTGGATGATGTCTATTTTAATTGGCTCCTAGGTTTATCAATATAAGTTTATGTTTCTACTATTTACATTTTACACACCGTGTTGTTAGAAAGGCCAAATATAAATTAAAGCAAAGTAAATAATGAAAATATTCAAGATAGAAGTTTCATCTAAAAATTTGTGCATTTGTATTACAAGTATACATCATTGGTGTGGTGACGTATATAACACTCTTCTGTTGCAGGGTGGAGTGGGAAGCTCCGTTGCTGAGCAGCCCCAGCAGCTTCCAAAGGACATTGTGGATCTATCTCCAGGCAAGCCGTTACAACCAAACCAGCCGTCGGGTGGGAGCATTGGAGTTATTGGTCGAAGAAGTGTAGCTGATCTTGGTGCAATTGGCGACAACTTGATCACACCACCCGCCAATCCTGGAGTAGTGCATGACCTGTCATACAACTTACAAATGCTTGAGTCTGCTTATCGCACACTTCCTCACCCAAAAGATTCTGAGCGTGCTAAGAGCTACACACCAGTAAGTAAACTATGCACTCTACTTAAAAAGACCAAAGTGCATTATCTGCTGTGAGGCGGTCTCATGGTGAAATTGGACTAGAATGACCCGAAAAAAAGTGCTCTAATTGACTGATGGTGACTTTTTAATTTTGGAAACGTGCAATTGCCATGATTCATGAAGCTTATTAATCACGGCAAATTATTTGAGCAAAATGATTCCTTTTTTTTGGGACACACTAGTGTTTGAAACTGAACTCTTTTTTAGGACATACGAGTATTTAAGAAAACATTTATTTGAAACGTATCAATTTTTACTTTTAAAGTATTACACGTTGGTCTCGTCGCACACAAGTTTTGATCAATTAAAATTTTGTTTCATCAAGTTAGACGTCCTTTGGCCTTTGACAGAGACATCCTGTGGTGACCCCTTCAAGCTATCCACAAGTACAGGCGCCGATGGTTAGCAATCCCTCATTTTGGGAACGGCTTGGGGCTGATAATATTTGCACTGAGACCTTATTCTTTGCCTTTTACTACCAACAGGTGCATCCTCCTTCCCCCTCTCCCCCATAAAAAATGCTCTACCATGTTATCTTCAAGAAGTCATTCGCACTTGACAAAATGGTTCAAAAACAAAATCATAGTGTTCTTCTGGCACAATACATGCAGAACACATATCAACAATACCTGGCAGCAAAGGAGCTGAGAAAGCAAACTTGGAGGTACCACAGACTGTACAATACATGGTTTCGGCGGCTCGAGGAGCCAACGGATGCTACAGATGATTATGAATCAGGGACATACCTTTACTTTGATATCACTAATGAAGAACAACATGGCTGGTACGATTTTTTCTTATTTCTGTACGGCATGTTTGGGAACTAGAATTTGGATTTCAAATCCGGATTTTGCTCAAATTCCATGTTTGGGAAATCTTAAAAATTTGGATTTGGGTTTGGATTTGAGGCAAATTCCTCTAATTCATCACAATGCTTAATTGCAAATCCATGTCTCCCCTTGTCATTTGAAATTCAAGAATTCAAATCTTGAAATTGAAATGCATGAATTGAAATGAAATGCTAGTTCCCAAACACTACGTTAATGAATTATGGTTCTTGGTGACGTATTTATGTTTGACCCTACGAATGCTGTTTGTTTATCATCCTCCTAAACAGGTGCCAGAGGATCAGGACTGACTTTACGTTCGAGTACAAATATCTTGAAGATGACCTCCCAGCATAGAATCTCTCCTTACAGTTTAACACATCGTTAGTCTACGGTTTGTAGTCTCACATTTATTTTCTTCACACCATTGAATTTGCCAAGTGAAAACCATTCTTTTCATGCATGCGTCTGAGTTCTTATAATTTTTATGATCATATCCTTTGCTGAAGAAATTCCTTTGCCATAAAAGAAAATAAGATAATGCTTGATGGAATAAGTCTCCTATTACTCAGTTTGGTCCATTGGCTTTTGTGAGTTAGACTGAAAAGTAAGGGACCAAACATGAGGGCAAAGTTAGTTAAATCCAAATGCATTTCTTTTCTTTTTTGCTTGCAGAGCAGTTGAAGTAAATCTTAAATTTGATCTAAAATGTCTAACTTGGTGCCAAACCCATATTTTACATGTCAATTATTTTGCATATCAATCGATTTATTTCTCTCGCTTTTAAAGTAGTCTTGATTACTAGTACTCCCTTTGTCCCAAAACAAGTTTCGAGGTTTCCTTTGTACACTTATTTAGACATCTGATTTATTTGATGATTCATTTATTGTATAGAATGAAAAATGATCTATAGAAAATTTGTTTTCGAACAAATAAAATAGGAGAACGTGAAATTTAATTTGAAGTAGAGAGTAGATAGATATAGGCAAGCCAATTTATGTGATCATTTTTTTTGCACTCCTTGCACAACTACTCAATTTTCTATTACCTCATGCCTTGAAATTCTTAATGTTGAGTTCATTATAAGCTGAGTACTTATTATATTTTGGTCCAAGTTCTTCAAATCCTTTGGTGTGAAAATTGGTCCAAAGTTAAATTGACTGCTTAAAATAGTGTATCAGAGAAATAATTTGAGCCACAATTTTTTAGATGAGCAAAATATTTTTATAGGCCAAAAGGGATCATACAAAGTGGAAAGAGTTCACAAAGAGAGACTATTTTACTATGTTGTTGTTAAGTGATATTCCCTCGTTTTCTTACTCTGTCTTAAATTAAGTTGTATATTTATTATTCATAGTATCAAATTTTATTTACCTTTTTTCTCTATTTTTATTACTCATTTGATAAAATAATATAGTCATGTTACTTTTTGATTTGTAAAGCTTTGGGAAAAAACTAAAATTAGAGTAAAAAACATTAGAATTATATCAAAATATACGATATTTTTTATTTCTGAAATAGCAGTTAAAATATATTTACATTATCAATCATTAGTTCATTATCATGTAAATTACTTATACTAAAAAGTTCATGTATAGTGTCACATTAGCAGGGTGTGAATTTCGATTTAGGGAATAAAACATGAAATTTCTATTTTTGATATTTTATCTATGTTTATTCCTATTGATGGTAATTTCTTTAGAAGAGTTTTTGACGTAGTTTTTTAATATATAAATTTTATTTTTTATTTCTGTTCTAAGTTTTAAATATATTATATTAAAAATAATTTTAGTCAAATATCATAAACAACAACAACAACAACCCAGTTAAATCCCACAAGAGTAGGGTCTGGGGAGGGTGTGTGTATGCAGACCTTACCCCTACTCGAAAGTAGAGAGGCTGTTTCCAAAGAGACCCCGGCTCAACGTCGAAAGTTGCATTGCTTGACTAACTGCTACTACGTACTTCATTAATTAAAGAAGCGCAGACAGTTTAGAGATCCATTTTGATTTATTCCATCACACTCCAAAGCCAAAAAATGGTGAAAGTTTAGCTCCATCGGAGATGATGGAAGAGAACAAAATGACTTATCTCCCTATATGAAAAATAAGGTAATTCATGCAATTGCCTTTTTCTTTCTTTTTTTTTGCACAAATACCAACCATAGTCCATAACTTTTACTTTTTTAAAAAAATTCTACGGAGTACTTTTTTCTCTCCTCTATATAAATATTAACCAAAAAATATACCCAAGTATACCCAATGCATCTCTACCACATAATTTAAATATTGATAATAAAAAATTACTCCGTAATAAATAAGTATAGAATGAATGGTTGTACAAATGGTGTACCCCTCTTTTTACTTTATTAAAATTATTCCTTCCGGCTTCAAAAAAAAATTATTTATTCTATTTTTTATAGGTCTTCTCGAACATTACTTATATGATCAAATTTAACTCAATTTGTTTACTTATTTTTAATACTTATTTTGTACAACAATATGGTTTTATGACTTCTTGTTTTGTAGTATAATTTCTATGCAATTTTTATTAGATAAATTTTAGTTTTAAATTTTATACCTATAATCATATAAATTGAACGAAAAATAAAATTGGTTAGATATCGTAACGCATAATAAAAAGGCCAATGGGTAACACAGGAAGTATAGAATATGGAAGGAGGAAGACATTATGTGTCCATGTTATGACTCATGTCTGCTTGGTCTTTCTTAGGTTGTAATAAGCATAAATAGAACAAGGGTGAAACAAAATTCATATCCTAAATGATGAAATCCACACCCCAAGGAATCCCTAATTCAAAAGAAAGCAATACAATGGGTACCAACAAATTTTGCAATCTCCTCAAAAGGAAATCAATACATACAAAAGGGTACTACAAATTTTATGCATCACATAATTGTGGCTATTTTCTGCTTAAAAAGGAGAAAAGCCAAACCATGAGGGAAGGAAAGCTAGGAATGATCTTTTATACCCTTTATATTGGGTGTGGGATGATCAACACATCCAAACATCTCCTCTATATACACATACACAAACACACAGTGATTTTGGGGAAATAATAACACTCCCCAGTCAAACTGCCACCACACATATTTTACACAGAAGCAGAAGACCAGCACTGTACAGGAGGAGGACCAAGTCTCCCACCCACCCATCATCACTTTGACGGGGCAACTTGGTTGATCTTTTGAGATGCATCTAGCAAACGGGGAACGGTGAGAGGAAACTGGAATTCGGGGCTGTGAAATGACGGCTTTGCCCCTACGGCGATAACCTCTTCTGGTGATGGGAGAGGGAGAGGCTCTTGTTTAGGTGTGAATTCGAACGAGAGATCTCTGTTGTTTGATAATGCAAGCAGTTCTTTCTCTTCTAGGCCCTTTGCAGGCCCCTCGCTGCAATGCTCTGATCCGTACTTCAAGAGTGCATCTTTGAACTTCTTGATCTGTTTGATTTTAAAATACAAGTTGAAGAATGATTAGTGGCACAAATACCCATTCCCGCTTTCCATTTTTCCACTGTATAGTGTATGACCATGAACTTATTGTCAGTTTCGGTGCTTCCCAGTCACTTACCCAGCCAAAAACAAATTGGATATTGTCATATGAGTCAAAAGAACTTATTGTCGATTCTAGAGTGTGTTTTTAAGCATGAAGATTGTTAATATCATAACAAGATGGTTAATCTTTGAGATAGATTTTTGCTGGTTCTGGCCAGACTAAGTGTTTTGAGGGATCGAAAAGGCAACAAATCCATAGTCATGCATCAAAAAAAGGAAAGATGAATGTTGAGGGTGAACCGCAGGGGCGCAGAAATAGATTAGCCAGTATTAACACAATAACACATCATTACTAGCCAACAAAAGCATTTCAGGGAATTAAAAAAACTCATGCAATTCTTTAGACAGAAACAAACCGTGGCATTAGTGCAGCTGAAGCTGCATACACGGCCTTTATCTCCTCGATAAAAACGGAAAAGAGGAAGAACATGAACATTAAGGCTATGACACATGGATTTGTGCTCCTCATAGTTCACCTGCAGAAACTGTACGTCTGGATTCATCTCTGCCAATTGGCATATCTGAAGATAAAGACAGCAAAACACAACAGTTCATCACATCATTCCCCAGTTGTCCTGGACAGTAGTAAACAACCCATGTTCCCTTTCATCCTCAATTTCTTTTTCCAGTAACAATCAGAAGCAATCTAATGGAAATGAGACAAAGCCTGTACCTTAGGATGAAGGGCTTTGCAGCCACCGCATCCGGGACTGAAGAAATCAACCACCACTAGTTTATCACCGGAATTTAAGAGAGATTCTACAAGGTCATGGGCGCTTGTCACCTCCTTCATGTTGGGTTGAAGACCCTTCTCCCACCATTTATTAGCTCTCTTGAGTCCTATACTCATCTGCATGTAAAGGAACCATAAAATTGCCCAAATCATCTCTATATGGAAACTGATGACAAAGGCAATTATTTCTTGATCAAAAGGGACTAATTAAGCACAATCCGTTGGGAAGACCTTCCCCTCCTTTCAGGATATAATAGGCAAGAATATAGAAAATTGACAACACAACTAGAACAGACACAATATTTTTTAACGTGGTTCGGGTTCTCAATAAACCTACCTCCACAACTCATTATCTATATATGGAATACACATAATACAATTTCGAACAGATAATTTATAAGACTCTTCACAGAGTTTTTAGAACTCTCAATAAGTTCTAAAGTACACACACAATCTTGGAGCACTCTCTCAACGAAATTACTCACTAAAATAGGTGTGGGGCTAACTCTGAACACACACAAATTTAGCCCTCTTCTTTCTCTCTAGAAAGGAACTCTCAAGAAGCTTTCATAGTGAAGATTACTCCCTTCCCCTCCTCTCCATCTCTAGAAAGATTCTTAAAGGAGCTCATGTCTCTCCATGCATGGGTACAATCCTATTCATAAACAATTTTGACCACCATGGGATGTCAGTTGTCACATCACCAAATTGAAAGAACTCAATCTGCTTAGTTCTTCTCTTGGCCACCATATTTGAGCCGACTCCCAAAATTGATTTTTTCAATTTGGTTTTTTCTCCTTCTTAGTCTTGGCAGTCAAATCATTTCTCTCTTTTTCCTATTTTGCTTAGTAAATAAGAAAAGAAAAAAAATGGGATTTTGCTTGCCCCCAACACCATCCTAAAAAAACAGCAATCTCCACACATAGAGCTTTGGAAACCGGAGATATCACCAAGCAACAACCAAAAAATACTACTCATTAAGCTTTAGTATACCTGCGCATTCGAAGAAATCGCTCGGCCGACTCCGCCACTTGGCGCGAGCCCAACTCCACGGCCAAATAAATCAGAGCTGGGCAGGCCGTGATTAATACACCTGAGCTTCACAGGCGGAAACGAATTGCCGGAACTATTAGGAAAAGCGCAAACCCCGTGCTGGAAACGACGGTGAATCGCCGACTTCCGATTCACAGCCGGCGGCGAAACCGCACCGCCGGGGATCTTGCTCGCCACCGCAGCCATCAAAATAAATTGAATTCGGGAACTCTGATAGGGGAAAAATTGAAAATCAAACAGAAGAAATGCTTTTTTTCCGGCCTGTATGGATTGAAAAGAGGAATGGATTGTAGGGGAAGACAAGTCTTGAAAAGGGCAATTCAACCGAAAGAGTTTTCCTTTTTCTCTCTTTTTCAAATGGATAACGCGTTCCAGAAGGTGCGCTGTCCCTCTGGATAACTTTTAATTTTTACCTACTCTACTTTTTTTAATTGTCTACCCATTCCTTTTAATGAAATATTTTAAACATTTTTCCATTTTTGGTTATATAAAAAGAAATTTCCTTTTTTGAAAAAGTAGATTTGCATCAGTTTTAACTAATACTAGAATTTCACTGGAAATGAGTTTGAAGCTCCGGGGTTTCAAACTGTGATTTCAAATCTCTATTTTTTACATTTGTAAATACTCTGTATACATCTTTTAAAAATTAAATTAATAATATTTTATTATTTAATTGAATTTAAAGGAAAATAATTCATTAAAAAATACGATCACTAAAAAGTATATTAACAAAATAAGATTTCAACAAAAATAAAAAAAATTATACTCGAGCGACTAAAAATATCTTTTTGCAAACCAAAATAATTCATTAAATGAAAAATACATTCAATGAAAAAAGTACGTTGAATTTAAAAAACAAAAAAATTACATTGCTAAAAAAAAGTTAAACAAAAATATATTACATTAAACAACAAAATATAGAGTAAAAAAATTGTGTTTGTGTATGTTTTATTTTTTAAAAAGAGAAAGAATGCAAAGAATAAAAAAAACTTTTTAATCTTATGGCATTAATGTAATTTTTGTCGTTTTTTAATAGAGGGACCCACACATTTTCTCTTTTAAAAAATACAATCACACATCTTTTAAAAAGCTAATCAATTTTGAGTCAATGACAAAGGAAGTCATCCCTTTGAGAAGAGGAATAAATAAAGTCACGTGATCCGTCACTTCTTCTAGAAAAATGCTAGGGGTACACCAAATGTGTACCCCATATGTCCCCCAGGCCCCACCCCCTCCTTGTTCGCAAAAAAAATTCAAAAAATTCAAAAAAAAAATTAAGTAAATAAAAATCAAATAAAAATGTGTGATAGAAAATGGGGTGGTGTACATTTGGGGTACACCTTCTTCTCCCTTCCTTCTCCATTTCTCTTGCCTTATTCAATTACTCTACTCACTTTTCCATTTTCACGTGTTCCCAACATCTTTTCAAATTCAAACAGTCTCATTTCCTACACATTATTTAAATTTATACATTTTCAATTTCTTCCCTATTCAAATCATCAAAACTATATCACAATACTTCTTCATTCTACTCTCAATAAAAAGGTATGTTATTATTCTTTAAATTTTTATTCTTTAAAATCATCATAATTCATTTGGCAAAAATGATTAGACTTTGTTTTATTATCATATAAATTAATTTAATTGTTAGAAACATGGCCTTTAGTATTAAATAGTATGAAAAAATTAATCAAATAAATTCTTATGATAAAATATATTACTTTTATATTTTGCATTTGTATATAATAACTTTAGGGAAGTTTTGTGTATATGATATAAATATATTTGGAGTATATTTTATTTTATTTCTTTTTTATACATTATTACGATCCAACATATGTACATAGCATGGAAATTTGGAGTACATTTTCTTTTATTTCTTTTATATTTCCTTGTATTTGCATTATATTTTATGAAGCAATGGGCTAAATTGAACATGATATTGCCGGTCCTCGAAACGATGTTGTGCTAACGTTTCAACAGAAGCATCGTTCAAGACGTGTTTGGGAAGAAGAAGATTTTTTTATGCAAATTTTTGTTGTTGTTGGTATGACACCGGTGTTGAAAGCTCTTACGAAGATGATCGGATATAGACGAATCTCAGAACTGTTGGAACGGTGGCCCTATCGGATAAAGATGAATCTTAGAAAAAATATGTTTAGGATTTTTTGAATAGCAGTTGTTGACTGCATTTTTCCATCTTCCGAAATCAGTCTGTAAATTCTTTCCTATCTCAAATTTTTTTCTTTAATAACTTATCATATATCACTATATTGATCTATGTAATATACTTATATTTATTATACATTTATTTGTACAATTGTAGTATTTAAATAATGTCAAGGAAAAAATATACTACCTCCGTCTCGTAAAATTGTTCTTATTTTGACTTTTGTAAAAAATTGTAGAAGTTTGACCAAAGTAAAATGATAACAATTGAAAAGAGTAGAGCTCGAGAAATGTCAAAATAGATAGAGTGTGAAAAGGTACTTGAGATATGTTAAGTTAGATTTAAGAAAAAATAAATGCAATTGTGTTCATTTAACTCAAATTGAAATGTTTATGGGACAAGCAAGATATGAAAGTTGAAAGTTTTACAAGACGGAGGAAATATAATACTTCATCTATCCAAATTAAGTTGTATGTTTATCAATCACATGATGAAACTTTATTAACTTTCTTTCGCAATTTTTAATACTCATTTGATAAATAATATAACAATTTCATATTTAATTTTGTAAAACTTTTGATGTTGTTTTTAAATATGTAAATTTTATTTTTTATTTTCATCTTGATTCTTAAATAAATAATATTGAAAATAACTTAAGTCAAATAAGAAAGTGAAATTTGCACTAAATAGAACTAAAACATAATAACTTTCCTAATGTAGGACTTAAACTTTTTTATTCCCTAAATATGACATAATAATAACCTTGTTGGAGGAATAATGTCCAGTAATGATGGACATTTACTTGAATAATGATTACTTGATAATGACCAAAAGTCCTACGGAGTACATTGAGAAATAAAAATATATAGTTTTATATTGGGAAAGTCATTATATTTTAGCCGTTTATTCAATAAGAAAAGGACAAATGAAATAATGTCGAGATAATGCCTCATGCCTTTTCATCACTTTTTATTGCTCTCATTATTACACACATTGCTTAGGACCACTTCTTATTGCTCATTATTATCACACACAAACCAAAGAGCATAAATAGAACTAAATCTTGATCTAATATTACCATACATATATTTGATCATTCACACACAACACACAAACATGATAACTAGAAACCCAGCGCTAGTTGATCGGTGCAGCGTTTTCAATAGTAATACGGGACGATCTTCCAGCGCTGGTTATCGCCTTTCGTCCACTCCCAGTTAACAATGGTAGTGCCGTCTTGGACACCCCCGTGATCTTTGTCCCCGTGGAACGCGTCGAAGTTTAGGCTGATGTTGTTAACCATCCTTATTGCCTTGTAGTTGTCGCCCGTGTCCTTGCTCTCTGTCCACAGGATGGATTTGTCGAGATGGTCCGGGTTGTACTCTGTCAGCTGAACCTGAAATCCATAAAAACGCCTTCATAATATATATACATCAATGTACGATAAACTAAAGAAATATTTGCACTAAATAGAACTAAAACTTAAGTCATTTCCCTAAATAGCACTAAAACTGTTTTATTCTCCAAATAGCACTTATAATGTCCAGTGATGGCGAAATTTTGCTTGAATAATGACTAATGCATAATGACTAAAAGTGCTACATTGGGAAGAAAAACATATGTAGTGCTATTTAGGAAAAGTCATTATGTTTTAGTGCTATTTAGGTAAATTCCTCTAAACTAAAGTGCTCGTGTCTTCAATCACGGTTTTTTTAGTAATAACAGGTCATAGGACACTTGAGTGAAACCACACTAAGGGGCTGTTTGTTTCAGCCTCTTAATGGTTCAGATGTCTGAATGGTTCAGCACTTAATGGTTCAGACTGTTTGTTTCAGCCTCTTAATGGTTCAGATATCTGAATGGTTAAGAGATTTGCCTCTGAATGGTTAAGTATTATACAGAGTCTGAATGATTAAGACCTCTTATCTGAATTGATCAGACATTTGCCTCTGAATAGTTAAGCAATATACTAGCTCTTAATGGTTCAGACCTCTTACTGGTTCAGCACTTAATGATTCAGACCTCTTACTGGTTCAGCACTTACCTATTCAGAAGTTGCCAAACAGCCCCTAAAAGTTTGTTAGAATATACACTTAGGATTCCTTTTGGTACACGGAATTGGAATTGAATTCGGAGTTGAAACTCAATGGAATTGAATTTTCCAATTCCAATTCATTTTTGGCATTACCAATTCGAAATCCACATATTTTTGTGCACCAAACAATAGAATTGGAATTGTTGTCCTCAATTCCAATTTCGTAGTTGGAATTCCGAGTACCAAACGAAGCCTTATATAAAATCTTTCCTGAGCCTAGAACTATAAGTTTTAGCTTTAATCACGTTAGTCATGTGCAAGGCTCGAAGCAAGAACAAAAACATTTCTTCAGTGAGCTTTTTGTTGAATCGATTCCTTGGTAAAATTCGAATTCAACCGATTATTTGGTAATTCATTCATTTTTCTATCTTTACTTTTTCGATGTGAAATACCTTAATGTATATCGACCCTGTAATTTTTAATCATCTAAACAAATTGAATCATTCGCTTAACTAGCTACTAATGAATAAATTAGAATAATGGAGCATGAGTTATTATATACTCTCTTCCCAAATTACAAGTGTGACAAATATTAAATACATACCGGTTTAGTGGCAGCATAGGCATGCTTGATGGCCTGACCAGTACCTTTATTCACCAAAGCAAAACTGGGTAACCCTTCATCATCCTTAACTCTTGTGCTGTATTTCTCTTCTTTGTACCAGTGCTGAATATTTAATTTCTCAATTTTAATTTAATTAATTAACCAAATGTAAATAAAATAATACGGAATAATAAAATGCAATATAATTGCTTCTTTTTAATATGCAGGGCGTCAATAGGATACACTTTGATTTTGTAGAGCGACCTGGTGGGGATCGGAAGGATTAGAGCGGGCAAGGATGAGCTGCCCGTGACGGATGGAGAGGAAGAGCCCCGGATCTGCCCGGCAATATATCTTATACGTCTCCCTATTACCGCCGATCTCATCATCGTCGCGGTAAGGACGAATCGGCTGGCTCCCGTCGTGGGACACGTGGTGGACGGCCGGCGGTTCCGGATAGAATCCGCCGTGAGCGGCGTGGTGGACTTCGCCGCGTCCGTCGTGCGGTGGCGGAGGGAACTCGTCTTCCCGGCCGTGGTGGTGGTGGTGGTTGTGGCCGAAGGGAGACGCCATTTTTTTTATCAGCTCAGACGGAAGCTAAAATTGAGTGAATCGTTGCTTTGGAGAGATATTCAGATATGTGAAGGACGGGGGCTTTTATAGTGTGATTTGTTTAGTGAGCCATTTTTTGCAAAAAAAAAAAAGAAAAAATTACTCTTGAGTGTTATTTGTAAGGGTCATATGGTTAGATTACTTGTCTGCCAATATAGTTGTCAGGATTTGAATTCGCGTTGTCAGGATTTGAATTCGCGTCTTATTCCTGATACTCCTTATCTTGCTAATTGTGCAACGCTCACCACCAAAAAAATTTATTTGAAAAAAGATACTAGGAGGAGCAAGAGTCTTAGGTCCCGTTTGGTACACAAAATTTAAATTATGGAATTGGAATTGAGGACTCCAATTTCAATTCTGGTGTTTGGTAGCACAAAAATTATGTGGATTTGGAATTGGTAGTGCAAAAAATGAATTGGAATTGATGAATTCAATTCTATGGAATTGAATCCCATGGAATTTTAATTTCAATTCAACTCCAATTCCATCAATTCCGTATACCAAACGGACCCTTAAATTTTATTGGAATTACTAACACTATGTTTGGTTCAAGAATTTTGGAAGGAAAAGAAAAGAAAATAATTTTTCATTTCAAATTCTTTGAACCAAACATAGCCATTAGTATATGATTTTTTTTTATCCTTAATGTATTTTTATATTGCTCTTAGGTGAAACAAGTGGTCACTCTTTGTCTAAAAACACTCTTTATTTCTTTTTTGAAATATCCCAAAAAAGATTATTATATTCGTATGACTTAAAATTTTCTCTCCTTTACATTACTTTAATCTTTCAAATTTATTCTTTTAACAGTGCGTGCCAATTCTAAACAAAAGTCCATTTTTTTATGAAAGGAGTATATCCAATGAATCTCATCCCTGAGCGCTCTCAGAAGCAGCGGCTGGATGGGAGAGAGTATATATGGTTCTGTTAGGGCTTATCCAGCTTTGAAGCTTCTATAGTCTCATATCTTTCTTTTTACTTTGATTTTTGTGATACGTGTATAAATTTAGTGCCAATAGATTTATATAGAAATTTAGTTTTAAAATATAGTTATTTTATAGTATACATTTAAATATAAATAAAAATATTAATAATTAAAGTATAGAATTAGAGAGGATAAAAACTTTGATAAGAAGAGAGATGCAATAGAGAAAGTAATATATGGAATTTTCTATACTTCATATTATCCCTAGTTTTTTAAGAAGGCAAATTTCTATGCAGATCCAAAATTTATGTTTATTTTATGGACCTTAATATATACATTGATATCACATACTCCCTCCGTCCCGGAGTATTCGTCTAGTTTTGACTTTTGGAACTGTTCATCTAAGCACTTTGACTCATCAAATTCTCTCAATGTATAAGCCTAAATATAGTCATGTGTGATCTTCCTTGATTTGTCTTAACATATAGATTATTAATATATAATTTCTATAAATTTTTGATATACAAATTACAAGATAAAATGGATTAAAGAAGTGTATTGAATGGTGTATAAAAATGAAAGTGGACAAATGCTCTGGGACGGGGGTAGTATCATATAAGAATTACTCTCTCCGTTCATAAATAAAGTTCCGGTTGCACGTTACGACGTTTGACTGAAATTATTTTCAAATCATTTTATAAGAAAATGGTTTGGAACTAAAAAAATAAAAATTACATATTTAAAAATAAAAATTATATATTTAAAAACTACATGAAAAGATCTACAAAACTAGAAGTGATATGAGAATATTATTTTATGAAATAAAAAACGAAAATATGCCAACAAGATGAATAAAGTTTGACCCTGTGAATAGTGAATGAAAATTTTATTATGGAACAGTCTTTTGTTAAAATAGAAAAAAAATTCCACTTTCTAACTAATTTACTTTATGTGAAAAAATATACGAGTACATTTTACATATAGATTTTATAATCACAAAATAATACGGACTACTCTGTAACTCCTTAAAAAAAATGTGTTAATTGATGAGACATTGTAACGGTCCCACCACAATATGAAGTAGTTGGGGCAGTTGTGTTATCCATACAAAGTTTCATCAATGTGAATCACGACCCCATGAAAAAAAACCGAGAAAACACATTTTCGGATTTAGACCGTATTCTTCTTGGTCTCAACTTATTAAATATGATCTCAAATTTTAACACTAATCTGATTTGAATATATATGATTGATTAGAGTATAATTTAAAATTGTTTTTGATCTCATTTGAATTAATTTAATATAATTTGAATTAATAATCTGAATTGATCTAATTTTGATAAGAATAAGTAAAGAGTTGAAAAAAATAATTTGAAAAAAACACGGTCTTAGTGTGTAAATATTTGGCTAAATTAAATAATTATTTTAATTACTCTCTGTATACAAAATATTATTTCTCTTCAGACAACGCACAAAATCTCATCTTTTTAAAAATTATTGTTTCTCCCATACCTAAATATGGTGTGTTGTACGTAGTATATACATTTTTTATTCATTAAAGCCATGAGTTTCAATCCATATTTTTAAAATATCATGGATTTTTAAAATTACATTTCAAAATCAACATGTTTATATTATATGTCAATATAATTTTTTCACATTTTGTAGTCAAAACTTATAAATCTTGGATACAAAAAAACACAAAAAAAGTATGCGTCCGAGGGATAATTTCCAAAGACTTTAATATAATGCATGATTGTTTTGTATTACAATTACTGATATTTGAACATTGAGATCTTTCGTTATGCGAGTTGAGTTATGCTTCTTTGACATGTTAGGTTGTGTTTCGTTCTGACTAGTCTGATCTAATCTGATTTTTGTAAAAATCTGGCATAATTTAATCTAATCTGATTTATTCATATTTGAAACTATTTTTGATCTGATCTAATTAGGTATGACATGATTTGATTTTAATAAGAAGAAATAATAAGCTGATTGCTACTTGGGCGATACTTTTATTAATATGGCCCAGACAATTTTTTAAAAGAATACTATCATTGGCTTGTAATCTTTGTTGGCTTCTAGATACTTGATAAACATTGAAATACGGGGACGTGATTATATTTTATCTAATCAAAAACTAAATTTAGGCTTTGAAAAATCATCTATACTATATACAAAAGAAAAAGAATTCACTTTTCAAAAAAAGGTAAAAAAAATTAGGGTAATTTATTCCAAGCCATTGATTCGAAGCTCTTGATATATCTACGGACAAGATTTGCTGCGCTTGGGTAATATGCAAAATGCGGCTGTCCTTTTATCTTCCTAAACATAATTGAATGAGTTTGGATTCCAAAGGGCATAATTAATACGGAGTAAAGAGTATCAAGTAATGGCTTTGGGCTTGCGTGTGTTCTGCACCGGAGATTATAATTAATTTTTATTAATGCATGAATTAGGCTTTGTTCTTTTGAATTGAAATTTCAGAGATGGAGATTGGAAAAAATTGAAAGAATTTAGAAGAAACTTGAAAGACTTAGAGAAAGTTGGAAAATTGAGAAATATTGAAAGAATTTAATTGTTAAAAAATTACTCAATTAAATGATCAACTAGATACATATATTAGAAAAATCTAATTTTGGATAAAAATGAATATATTATTGTTTGTGTTTGATGTGATATGCTATAATTTATAAATTTAGATATATAATGTTATTTTATATTCATCATATATAAGTACAATTTCTAAATTATTGATAAAAAAAGCAAGAGTTGGAAGAAATTATATGAAGTTGAAAAAAGTTAGAAACTAATTTTTCTAATCCAAAAGAAAAGAATCCAAGATTGTGAATATGTTTTAAAAACGGGTGAGTCATCTTAATAGATTGGAAAATGATATTTGTACCCCAAGAATTTGTACCCCGGCCCATTTTGTACACCGCACGGATGGACCAACATTTTGTGTTGGTGTAACACTAATATTTGTTAACGCACCAACACTTTGTGTCAGTGTGAACCATCAAAATATTAGTGCACACTTTTGGTGTATAAATGGGGTACAAATTTCGGTGTACATGTAGCATGCGCCTAATATATTTACTTTTATTTAATCCCGCAATCATTTAATTTAATGATGCCTTTTAGACTTTCAAGAAGTTTTGTTCCATATCTACCTTATCTCTTCCGATTCCCATTGCACGGAGTTTCTTCATCGTACTTCTTCAAATGGAGTACCGTGAAAGAGATTGGAGACTATGGAGACCACAATAGCAGCCCCTTCAATTATCAAACGGTCAATTTCATCAATTGTTTTCCCAGTTTAAGTTTAGAGATTTTTTTTCCCATTAATACATCATCCCTAGATTAATTTCATATATTGATTTCATGCTAATTTTCATCTATCTATTGTTATATATATCATGTCTCAAGAACATTTTCCAAATTGCATCTTTCCTTTATTATGAAGAATAAGGAAAGAATTGGGCATTCATTTTATTATATATGATACAATTTGATAATAACTTGTCTTATTGAATATTGAGAGATATGACCCTATATATAGGGAATACAAGAGTAATCAAAGTACAAGTAGGAAAGGAAAGAATAATCCTAGTAGGAAAGGAAAGAAGTATCCTAATTTAATTATACTTCCTAATATCCCCCCGCAAGCTGATTAACGGAGACGAGGGGCAGCTTGGAACATAAGTACTCAAAAGGAACTGGCGGAAGCGGTTTGGTAAGAATGTCTGCTAGCTGCTCTGAGGAGGAAACATGATGTGGAGTCATAGTGCCTGCCATAACCTCATCTCGTACAAAGTGACAGTCTGTGCCCACATGCTTCATGCGATCATGAAGAACCGGATTTTTGGTGACACAGATAGTCGACTCATTGTCACAGTATAACTTCGGTTTGGACGGAGGAATACCCAGTGCATCAGTGATATATCGAAGCCACATAGCTTCTGCAACCCCTGCAGCCATAGCTCGATATTCAGCTTCAGTGGATGATCTAGAAACACGAGTCTGCTTTTTCGTGCACCAAGAGATGATATTAGGACCGAGTAGGAGTATGTAGCCCGTGGTAGACTTGCGATCATCTTTATCATTGGCCCAGTCAGAGTCAGAGTAGACAGATAGGTCGAATCCCCC